TCTGGTGCTACTAGTACTAGCCCTCTGCTCTTCCCCAGTAGCATATTGGACACCTTCCAACCTGAGGGGCTCATCTTCCGGCGTCATATCTTTTTGCCTTTTGGTATTGTCCATGGGGTTTTCATGGCAAAATACTGGAGTGGGTTGCCATTTCCTTCTCCAGCGGATCACGTTTTGTCAGAGCTCTCTGCTATGACCTGTCTGTCTTGGGTGGCCCTGCACAGCACGGCTCACAGCTTCATTGCGCTATGCAAGCCCTTTGCCACGACAAGGCAGTGATCCATGAAGGGGCTTCCAACTCTACTACTCTATGATTCTACAAAATAGGCAACTCCATAAGGGAAGCCACAGCCTTGAGTTTGCAAGAGCTGAACAGGGCTGCCAAAGACAGGGCATTTTGGAGGATGCTCATTCACAGGGTTGCCATGCATCATAGATGACTTGACAGCACATAACGACAGCAAACAATAGCCTATTTTATCATTTATGTTACATTTCCCGCTCTTCTAGTCCTGTAATTTAAAATGTGTGGTTTCCATTTGCATTGTACTGGAACAAAACACAGTGAAAATATTGACTCAGACAAAATTTTCCATCATGCATATAAATTGAATGTGTAAACTGATTTGGGCATCATGACCAGGGGCCTCAATTAGGTGAATGCTGCAATTTGAATGTTCATGCGAGAATCCAGTCAAAACAGGCAGAACCTTCCCAAAACCCTTGATCCACATGAAATTACTCATATGCCATTCCTCTTCTGCTGTTCAGCATAGAGAGGAGAATTCCGATCCTCTGTGAAAGATGTGGGCAACTTTAGAGGGTCCAGGGGCCATGTTCAGCCCCTGATCCACAGTCAGTATGGAACAACAAACGGGACACCTCACTGTCTGGAAAGGGGATGCTAAACTAACCGTCAGGTCTGCATCAAGCCTGCACGCTTTCCACTGGTCAGAAAGGAGACAGTTTTCCATCTCCAGCGACTAGCTTGCTGATGGAGCATGTTGACTGCCCAGATAACCTCTGTCCCACCTTGGCCAATGCATCATATTTCTATACCAAGTGCCAGTTGGGGGTGTAGGAGAAATTTGTTTCAGTTTGTTTTAGTTCAGGATTTTCCTCTGAATGTGGACTTGGATATAGTTGGCACTCAAAACCTGTTTGTTTCTGAGCTTGTGGTGAGATTTATGGACCAAAAAAGGCCTCCAACAGCATGTGTACATTTCAGACATGCATATATTTAAACTGAATACAATTCAAAACTGTGCACAAACATGCTTTGATCATAGGAGAAGAATGTGTATTGCTCAAAAAATGCCTGAATATTTATGGGGAAAGGGGAAAAAGAAAGCCTGCAATCTGATATTCACTTGAGTGGGAATAAACTTCAAGAGGGAATATGGAGAACTTAGGTGACCTCAAATTCTGCTACTTTGCACATGGCTGCTAATATAGCAGGGATGTGTGGTAGCTACAAAGGAGCAGTGGAGCTCATCTGTACTTACTATTATCGTTATGATTCATTACATTTCTATATTGCCCATAGCCAAAGCTCTCTGAGTGGCTCACGGCATTAAGTCTCCCATCCAGCCACCCATTTCAGCCAGACCTGACCCAGCTTAGTTTTCAAGCTTAGGCAAGATCCGGCACTTCAAGCTATGCTTGGCTGGGCTGCTCCTTTGCTCTGTTTATGCTGACTGGACAGGAGAAAAAGAGGAGAGGAGAGGAGAGAGTTGGAACTGGAATTAGAGATGTTAAAGGTAGAGTTGTTAGAGGTGGAGGTGTAGGTGGAGCTGGAAGGAGTCTGTAAGACCATAAGTCCAACCCCCTGCTCCACTTCCCCTTGTGGTCGCCCATCTGACTCCAGGCCCACACCTTTCCAGCTTAACAAAGGTGCCTCAGCTTGCTCGCTCAATGTATAGCTTATGCATGGAGGTCATGACTCCCCTGGTTGTCAGCATAAACAGTTTGGCCTCCTTCGAATGGCTGACTGAACACTGAAACCCCACCAGCTCAACCACAAGGGGACCAATTTTAGAGGGACTGTTCAAAGGGAGCATGATTTCAAATCAAGCCAGACCTTTCCTTAGAAGCAAATTTGGGCACATCATGAGAAGGCAAAACTCCATGGAGAAGAGACATTCTAGGGAAAGTCAAAGGCAGAAGAGGAGGAAGACCAGATTAGAGATGGATTGACTTAATAAAGAAAGTCACAACCCTTAATTTATGAGAGCTGAGCAGGGCTGTCATGGATAGGAGATTTTGGAAGGCTATTGTTCATAGGGTTGACATAAATCAGAGATTATTTGATCACACATAACAACAAATATCCCTAAAAAGTGGTCTGTATTAGCTTTTCCTGACCTGGCACTGTTCAGATATATTGGAATACAACTCCCATCATTCATAGCCCAGGGCCTTCCTGGATAGGGATGATACAAGTTGTAGTCTGAAACATCTGGAAGGCACCACATCAAGGAAGGCTGATCTCTGTGCAAATAAGTAACTGAATGATGTTAATTGTGCAAAACTTCGTTAAGAGAAATCGACAACTCCACCTTCCTCACATCAGCAGCTGGGCTTTTCTGGGTATGACTCTTTATTGTTTTGCAATTGGAAATATTCACTGCCTAACCAAGTTCTTTTGAACAGGGAATCTGCCCAAGAGTCCATCCCCAAGTGTGAAGTCCAAACAGGCTGAAGCCTCCTCTCCCTTGAGCTGGACAATGAAGCGCTTCTTGGAACCAGCAAGTCGGGTAAGACAACTGAAATTCAACAGGGCCCTGACACTGACCGGCCAAGTATGCATTTGTCTGAAAGGAAACACAGCTTCTGTTGCAACTTGGAAGCCTGCTTGATCAGGGGCTGCTGTCTTGGAAGCTCCTGTGCACTTCAGACACTCACAAGTGCAAATCCCTGGCATTCAGTGCTGCAAGGGTGGAAGCAGGGACGGTGGGGCTGGTGTGCATGAGGACACTGGGGCAGGATGTGGGTGTGTGCCCTCCCACCCACAAACCTTTTCACTCTGACATGTGGATGCTGAATGCCTGCATCAGATTGCAGGCATTTAAAGCGGGCTGGTCAATGCCCATTACTAGGTGTATCTTACACATCAAGAGCAACAGATAATTCATTTCAGGTTCCATTGTTTTGTTTTTGTTTATAAATAAATCAGAATTAGTGCTCTATTTCAGATAATCATTCCCATTGCCTCATCATAAATTGCTCTAAGCTGCATTCACTAGTGTAGTATTTTATTTATTAATTAAAATATTTGCATCCCACTTTTTTTCCTTTCAAGGAACTCAAAGTGGTTTGCACAATTCTGCTCTTCTCAGTCTTGTCCTCACAACAACAGCCCTGTGGGGTAGGTTGGGCTGAGAGTCTGTGGCTGGCCCAAAGTCACCCAGTCAGCGCCACGGCTCAGTGGGGACTAGAACCCAGATCGCCTGAGTCCTAGTCCTGCACTCTTACCCACTGCACCACACTGGCTGTCAGTGAGGCCAGAGAATAATTTTTAAAAACGGTAATACGTTGGGACTAAGACTGATGGTGCTTGGAAGAATGAGCACCCTCCATCCATGGGTGAGTACAAGGACAGGAAGGAAAAAAGAACATTGTTCTAGATGGCCCTTTTGTTAGATCCTGGGATATCTTTGCTGCAGCTGCATGTATTTGCTCATTTATTCTTTATTTTTTATTTCAGCAAGGATCCATCAATTCTGAAACAGAGCTTTCTCAGTACTTCTTGCAGGATGGTGCAAGCCAGTTGTCCCTTTCAGAGACCACAGTAACGGGGTCCAGTGATGAGGAGCTGCTCCGTCCCAAGAGTGGTAGCAGCTCCCTAGATGAGAGCTTTCCTTCTCCTGGCATTCCAAGTAAGCTGTAGTAAAAATGTAAGGAAATTCAAAGAGGCGCGACAACTACTTTCTGTGTTTATTGTCTTTTATGCACAGCTTGAAGTTTCTGGCCTTGAAAAGAGGTGCTATATTATTGCCTGGAGTGTGTGTGCATATATATTTATGGCTGTTCAGTAACTGAAGTTATCTGGGCAGCTCACAGAGAATGAAGAAGCATAAAATACAGCATTCAAACAAGATGGTTCCCCGGTTGTGAAAAGCTCTTTCTGGGGAAATCAGCCCAGTGCCAACATTGGCACCATGTAAAGCCTTTCTCTGCACCCACCCAGTTGATAGCATATCATGTGGCTTTTTAATGATTGCTGTTTTATGGTGACCTGGTATTTTGCTGTCATTTCTTTTTAACATTTTCAAACTGTTTTTGATTTTTTGTGTGATCAAGGTCTTATCATGTTGTATTTTACGGTTCTAATTTTTTTAACTGTCCAAGGAGCTATTGGGCAGCATAGCAATGGCCTGACTGATTGAAAAGGCCTTAAGATGGTGCCAGGCAAATCTCTTTAGGGAGACCATGACTGAGGTGCCACCACCGAGAAGGCCCTCTCCCTCTAGCCTCACTTCATTTGCTACAGGCATTCAGAACAGGGCTTCTGAAGAGGCTTCTAAGTAGAGGGGAGGCATTAATGGGAGAAGGTGCTGTTCTGGGGCATTATATGTAGGATCACATTTATCCATGTTCTTTCCCAGTTACCAAAGAACCAGGCCTATGTGATTCGCCTGCTAGCAGAAACACCTCACCCAGCCCTTTCAGCAAGCCGAGGGAAGCTGCCACTCGCCATGTTAGTTTCAGCGATAGCCCCAAAGGGTCTCGTACGGCATTCCAGAGGCAGAGAAGGATCGCTTTCTATGATGGGGATGCCAGTGATGAGGATGACTTTTCCAAACAAGATGGGATCCGATTTCAGAGGGGGCTGCGGTCCAAAAGCCCAAGGAAGACTGAGGTCAGCTGTGATGTCACCCTTGCAGCTGCACCAGTAGAAAGTGGTGATATGGACCAGGAGAAAGATTTTGCAACAAATACCCCCAGTAACCAAACTCCCAGTGGTATTAGGGGTCCAGCAGAGAGTGCCACGGAGCAGGCAACGGACTCCCCTCTCCTTCCAGTCAAATTGTGTGATCACCCAAATATGCCAGAGCTTTACCCAGGACACCTGAACTTGAAGGACTTTCGAGAGGCGCAGCTCGAATTGAAGCGATCTCCCAAACTGGAGCACAAAGCAGTCACCCGGGTTAAAAGCTTGATGAGCATCGAATACCACGGAGTCCCACGGCAGAAGAGTGAGGAGCATGGTGCGTGCAGCAGACCCAGTGGGAGGGGGCCTCCCCACGTCCGGAAGAGCGACGTGCAAGAGAGTCCTCTTCGGCAGGGCCACACGGAGGCGATCACCTTGACGCGGAACGACAATGAGTCGTTTGGCCTAGATCTGGAAATCCATGCTGTTCCCTTGCGCATCATGATCACAGGCTTGCGGCCAGGCGGAGCTGCTGAAAGGGTACCTGCTTTGATGTTTTTCTTGTGTTTGCCTCCCACCCTGCCCTTGATATACGGTATTAATTTCCTCACTGCCAGAGCAGTACGACAGTGGAACCAGCTGCCTGCAGAGGCGGTGGGCTCTCCCTCACTGGAAGCATTCAAAAAGAAACTGGGCAGCCACCTGAGTGGGACGGTGTAAACTGGTGTCCTGCAACAGCTGGGGGTTGGACCTGATGGCCTTCATGGCCCCTTCCAACTCTACTCTTCTATGATAATTCTGAGGGAAGAGATCAGGCAGAGGAAGTAAGGGCACAATCTTGCACATGTTGAGACAGATGAAAGTCTTCGCTGGGGCATGCCAGGCATTGCAGGCCTCTTTTCTGTCTAAACTTCCATAGGATTGTGCTTGTAGAAAGTTATCTCCCAGGCCGTATTAATTTCATATGTCTTACACTTCCTCATGAAAAAGATGCTGCAAATGATGGGATCTGAGCCTTTCTGTTCTACCCCCTCTGCCCCCAAACTGTGGACTGCAAAGATCTGCTCAGCCCCTTTATTGTATAGGGTTAGACTAAGGTTTTCCTTCTTCAGCAGGCATTTAATCTTTCATCTGTGGTTCCGGTTGTTAATTTTCCTGTTGGCTTTTTAATGTTTCTGAAGCTTTAATGTTTGATTGCTATTTTTATTCTTGTATTTCCTGGTGTGGTTTGGCATTATGATTGGTTTGTTTTGTGACAGTATTTGCCAGTTAGGTGATTTACACATTTAACAAATAAAAAAATAAAAGCACAATCTTAGGCAAGAGAGGAAAAGAAGCCTGCAATTCCCAGCCAGTCCCAGCCTTTTTTCTGTCTAAGATGAATTGCATCCTAAATGATTTAGTGGTGAGTATCCAGCCCACCTTGTTTAAATTCTAAGGCTGTCTTCCCAACCTGTTGCCCTCCAGATGGATGACTGGGGGTTGGGGGCGCTGTCACCCAGCACATCTGGAGGACACTAAGTTGGGGGTGGCTGTTCCGGACGGTTGGTGGGGTGGGGACCCTGCTGCTCCGCAACAGTCCTTTTTTGTAATTGTACCAGCAGTTGTTGCTGCTCTGCCACTTTTGCAGAAAAGGGATCGTGTCTGCACAGAGTACAGGTCATTTAGAAGCAGGAAGTATTAAAATTTTAAGAGGCCTGCAGCTCCTTGAGAGGGAAGAACAACTGGACTGCCATTTGAGTTTTAAAAATTTAAATACATGATTACTAATTCATCTCTTTTACCTAGATTTGTGATTTTCAAATTATTATTAAAAGGGCCTCCTTCAGGAAGCTGATGACAATTCATTGACCCAAGATATTGGGGTGACCAGTAGCATGGATACCATTAATGCAAAAAAAAAAAAAAGGCATATTTGGGGACAGTACATCTATTAGTGCTCTTAGCTTGGCATGGAATTTGCATGCACTGAATCACTATAACTCCTGAGCTCCAGGCATTCAAAGCAAAGAAGAGGCAAGGGCCCACTGCCATCATACTTGGCTTCTTACTTTTTCAGCATTATCCAATTAACTGCAATCTAATCTAGCATGGCACTTATTGATTGCATTCGGATGTAATGCTCACTCTCAGCCGTAGTTTAGCACTGTGCAAGGAGGCAATCAGACACTGCAGCTCCTGTTTTAGGTTAATCACAGCTTCATTGGTTGACCAGCCCCTAAGCTGGTTAATCTTAACTGTTGTTTGTAGGAGGAGATGCCCATTGTATAAACTATGGTTTGAAGCTGGCTTGTTTCTACTAAGCATAGTTAAGATTAACTACAGTTTGTCCAGGTTTGAATGACGGGAAAAGTTACAGCTAATCACACATGTAAAGAAGAGCTTCCAAAGCTGTCCTCATGGCCAGAGGAGGGAAGAGAAGGGGAAGCCTGGAGACTCAATGTGGTTCATTCATATAGAGCCCTCAGACACCAGGCTGCTCCTGGGCACCGTCTTGGCACCCACAAATTGCTGTTCCCTTTCACTTTTTCTAAAAATTAACAAATTGCATTAATGCCATTGACGCCTAAAAGTATGTGTTCAAAGGAGTTGCTTGGGGCTCCGAGTGACAGGGCTCAGACCTAACATAATCTTGCATTCAGTCTTTGGGCCAGTTACTTGCTCTTTGCCAGCTAGCCATGCCTCACACCACAGTTTTGTGACAGTGCCTGTGGCATTTTGCAAATTGTCAAATGCCCCCAAAGCCCCAGAAGATTGCCTTCCCCCTGTATTAAGCCAATGCATCATGTTACATCCAAATCAGCCCATTAAGAAGTTCTCCAGCTTTTCCTGCCTTTCTTGATTTGGAATGGGGGTAAATTTTGTGAGCGTTCAGTCAAGCCATGTCCCTGCACAAGTTATCTTAATTTGTGTTGCTGAAAAGCCATTGAAGTAGCTCCCTATTTTTAATAAATTCCTGTCTTGTTGACTATCTAGATCCTAATTTCTTCATCTGCCTGTATCTGTAGGTGAGTAGTTACTAGACAGTGGAACCAGCTGTCTAGAGAGGTGGTGGGCTCTTCCACACTAGAGACATTCAAAAAGAAACTGAACAGCCATCTGGGTGAGATGGTATAATTTGGTATCCTGCAACAGCAGGGGGTGGGACTTGATGGCTTTCATGGCCCCCTCCAATTCTATTATTCTATGTTTCTAGACAAGTTACCAGCTTACCATCTTCATAGAGAATTGTGGATTCAATAGCATAATAACCATCTTGGTCAGAGTGCAGGTGCCCATCAAGCCTAAGTATTTTTTTCTCTGGATGACAGTAATTCTCCAGTGCTGCTACTTCAAGTCCTGTAACAAGGGCTGCCAAGATGCTCTGCACTCTTGAACTCTGAACTATAGCTGGGAGGGGGCCCAGAGTCATCCAGGTTCAACCCTTTGCTCCAAAACAGGACCTTCTACTCATCAGAGCTCTGCCATCAGTTCCTACAGTGGGAAGGATGAGAACTGAGTGGCTGATTCCGTTTTTTTAAAAAGCTGGTTTCTCTTGAGGCAGGCCATTCATTCATCTAGGCCAGTATTGTTGACACTGACTGGCAGCTGCTCTGCAGGTCCAGGCAGGATTCCTTTCTAGCCCTATCTGGAGATGCCAACGATTGAGCCTGAGACCTTTAGCGTGCAAAGCAGGTGTGCTCTGCCCTTCTTGTAGTGCAAGCACAACCCAAACTGCACATCTGTGGACTGGACGTCACTGCTGCTGTGAATTTATCACTTTGTTTTTATGGATTGTTGTAAATCTCCCAGAGAACGTCAGCTATGGGGTGGCATAGAAATAAAATGAAGGGAAAGGAAATAATACATGTAATAGTACGTAAATTATACATGTAATAGTACGTAAATTATACATTGTTATTGTGGGCACTAGAAGTTCACAGGGATTTATGTTTGCTTGCTTTGGTGCTGCTCCTGATTTAATTGCAACTTTAACAGGCATCAATGGGGAAACTGGTTCCAGGGGATGAGATCCTCTCTATCAACGGCTTGCCAATCCATGGATGCTCTTACGAGGAGGTCTGTCAATATGTACGGTGTCTTCCCACATCTATCACCCTGGACATCCAGAAAGCTGCTTCCGGTAAGAGATTTTCTCCTTTTGTACTGTGACCATTCAGTAGTCAGTAGACAGTTACATACGGACTAAGTAAGGAACCAAAGAATTTTTAAAAAGAAGATAAACTGGGATAGGAACCATAGCATTCTGTTACTGTTGCCTGGGGAGGTGCACTGGAAAGGGTTTCTTGGGCAAGGAACAAACCTGTGGTGACATCCTATGAATGGGGTGGCTTGAGCATTTCTGTCCCCCCAAAATCAGTGGAAGAAGCAATAGCGTCAGGCAAAAATCTTTTTATTTTCCCGCTATTTTAATGCTCAATTGATTTTGACTGGGGTTTCAGTATATTAATGGTCGAATGCTGTGGGGTTTGTTTTATCCTACTTATTTATTTTGTAAGCCATCCTGAGACATTTGTAGGGGACGGGATAGAAAAGTTTTAGATAGATAGATAGATAGATAGATAGATAGATAGATAGATAGAATTGAAGTAGCATCTTGCCCGCATAGGTCCGGTCACCCCCATGACCCATGTGACGTGCTGTACTGTGTGGATGTGGGCAGAGGCAGGCAAAACCTTTTTCCGGGTTACTTGCCCTTCCATTGCTTTTGGCAGAGCTTCTGCAGGGAGAGTGATGCTTGCAGCAACAAGGAGGGTCAGGCCGGACCCGATACTGTTTGCATCCTTAGCACTTGCACTAAAAGGTGTTTGTTTAACTAAATTATAGCCTTGGGGGTGGGCAATATGTGGACTGGGACCATGTCACGGGGAAGAGAGCTTTCCACCCCTTGTTCCCAGCGCAGCCCCCATCCACACTGGGCCACTGCTGCAGCCTCTTGTGCACTGGCGAAACGGGGACCATTCTTCTGATGCAATTGGCAGGCACAAATCGGGGCAGCAGGGAATCCTGGGAGGGCAAAGGAATAGTCCCCACCCTGCTACAAGCAGCACTCTGATCCAGATATGGGCAAGGGAGGCTGCAGCTTTTATTTCCTCCTCTTTGTGACTTTGATTGCATTGGAAGGTTTTGTTAGTTTTCAGTGTCGAGACTCCTTGTATTCCCCTCCCTCTTTCACCCATCTATTTATCTCTCTGCGCCATCCCCTCTTTCACACACACACTACATTAAGGGAGCAATCCTGTGTATGTTTAGAGAATAAAAGGGCTGACCAAAGTTTTACTATATCAGCAGTGCTGTGGCAGGAGAATGTTCCATACCAGGGGCTGGGCAGGGAAAACGGGCTGCATTCAGTTTGCAAGGCTGCATTAACTTTCACCTGCTGCCCCTATTCTCTCTCTCCTCCTAAATGCTTGCCAAAATGGGGACACATCTCTTGTTGAGTCTTCATCACCTGATGGCCATGGGATGCTTTGCGTGTGTGTAAGAGGAGAAACCGTGAGCTGAGGATCCATTACACTGCACACACAATGCTTTCCATGGCAAAGAGCATTCAGGGGCTGGATGTGTTCGCACATTTGTCTCCAAGTAACCCAGAATGTAGCACAATACCCTTATTTATAAAGCTGTTTAGCCAGTGCTACAGCTGAAGTGGAACAGAAGCCGCTTGATCTGCATAGTGACAATAGGGAACCCCTCAATATTTACCCCTGAAATTCTACATGCAGTGCCATAAGACACTGGTTCAGTCACACTCCTGACATACCTCCAGGTTCTAAATTTTCTCACATCAGGCCTAGCTTTGCTGACATTCCTTCCAAGATGGTAGCTGGGTCTAAAGAAGAACAGATGCTGGGATACTGTAACAAAAGCTTGTTGGTGCTCTTGAAGAGGTCAAGTCTGCAATCTTATCCCCTTGGAATATGAAGAATACTATTTATAGTGCCTTTTAGACTGTGATAGGATACATGGGTAAGATAGAGGGAATCTTGTCATTAGAAGGACAATCGGCAAGCACAAACAGACTCAAGGCAGAAGATAAAAATCAGAAATAAAAAAGATTACTACTAATATCAAGAAATAAAATTAATAAAATAAATGTTCCTGAATTGTGATTTGTATGTCCCATTCAAATCTTAGCTTTCTGTTGCTGTTATGTGCTGCTAACTTATCTCCATCTTATGGCTTAGCTTTAGGAAACAGTGGCCTGCCTCTGCAGGAATTTTGTAGATTGCTTAGGACAGCATCTTTAGGGAAAACATCTGAATGCTGTGGAACATACTGAGATGAATTCAGATTTTGCTTGTACCAGCAAGACCATTCCCAGGTTTCTCCACTCTGGAAGCTCCAACTGGCGGGAATCAGAGAAGACAAATTTAGCTGGTCCCCTTCTCCTGCTGTGGTTTGGAGACAACCCTCCGTGTTGCTTCAGAAGGCATATTTTCAAGGGGCTGCTGTGGGAGGAAGAATAGGAGAAAATTGCTCCCTTCCTAATCCCACAAGTGTAAATGATTTTCTGGATCAGAAGACTACTACCATGGATGGAAGGATTCCTTCCATTCACAGAAGGCAAGAATTGGATCCATGCCAATGCATATATAAATATATATTAGCAAAGTAATATAATTAAAAACTGATGGGATGGTGATCATAGGTCAGCCATTATTCTCCATCACTTTAATACTTGCTGGGACTGAAGCCAGACTCTAAAAAAAGACTCTCTAGACATTTCTGTATAGTTTTTAAATTTACATGGTTAAGAGGATGAAGTGACTGATTTGCTTCCTTCTTTATGCAGCCATGAAAACATCCATTACTGTTGTATCTTCGGAGGCCTATGAGTCATTTCAGACAGATTCAAGCAATATTCTTATGAATGAAGAAGAAAGCATTTTTGCAAATCAGAAAGAATCTTTGAACAGCAATAACTCAGGTGATTCGGTAGAAAGGACAGTGTTGCCTTCTGAGAGCAAGATCAAGGAGATACTACAAGATTCTTTTGAAACTGCCTATACCCAAGACCATGCGGTGGCACCATTAGGAGATGCTGATAACTTCCTAGGCAAAAGAAACTCCTCAGAAGAAAAAGACACTACATGTTTATTAATCAGGAACAGGTGTTCTAAGGAAGATACTTCTGTGAGGGTGGAAGAAGATGATTCTAATTCTAAATTGGATATAATTAAGAATGAACTTCCAGGAAAAACTTTGAGTCATGCTACTAACACTCAAGAAATCTTGGGGTTTTCTGTTTTAGACTCCATTAATGCCAGCAAGATTTTCACTGTGAACCAAAGCCGCTTGAGTAACTATTCAAGGAATTTCAGCAGCTTAAATGAAGATACCTTGGCTGGGATGGAGAGCAAAAGCAACACCATTCCAAAATCTATGTATGCTGCTGCAGAAGATTCCAGCTCAGACACAGAATCTGTTGTAGAAACTCCAGGGCTTTCAGGCAGTGCGCCACTTTCACTGTCCACCTGCAACAAATCCCCGGAGAACCATAAAGCAATCGATTCAGACGAGGAGCAAATTGAAATTTGCTGCCTGAATCATGAGCTGCAACACTTTCCTCAGAAACAGGCAGTCGTATCTGCTGCAGATGCATTTCATCCGCCGCCAGAATGCCATCCTTCACACAGTGCTTTGCAAGCAGAAAGCAAGACGGGGGTTACTTCTTTGGACGTAACCTATGGGAAATTCTCATTCGAAGAGCCACACTCGCCAAAGCATTTCAGTGTAGACCATACAGTTCCATCTACACCCTCTCATTCTCTTTCAGAAGTTTCTTCACAAGGGACAGATAGGTTAGACTGTGATGATGCTGTTGGCTGTTTCCATGAGAATGGCCTCTTAAAAAGCGGAGAAAGAATAAGTGTGGAGAGCAAAGAGAGGCTTATGGAGATAAATGAGATTTCCAGATGTGCTGCTCAAGACATGCATTTGTGCACAACAAAAGCCATCAGCAGTTGCGACAGCAACCAGTTGGACAAAGATGGATGCAATAAACAACAGCAACTGCCTCTGGAACAAGATCTAGCAGCAGATTGTGGCAGTCGCATGGCTGGTTGTCCTCCTTTGACAAAGAAAGGAACCAATGGCTCAGCCCACTTGGGCAAGCCATGTAGTCATCCCATGGAGCCTGCATCACAGAGGATGGCCAGTAGCCCCAGATCTCCCCTTCTGACAAAATCAAAAGACCTGAGTAAGGCCACAGTGGCTCCTGACATCCTGGGAAAGAATGACAAGACAACTGCCATTCCTTTCTCAAAATGTGTAACCTCAAAAATCCAAAGTGCTGGCAAAGGTATTACTGTCCCACACAGCCCATCCACTTCCAAGAAATCACATCACGAAACAAAAGGGATTCCCCAGAAGAGCATTACAGAAACTCTTGCTGGTAATCAACGAAACAAACCAGGGCCTAAGCTGAAAGGTCTTACTATTAAAAGTAAATCCAAGATTCATTTGGATGCTCTTAGTGCTGTTCCTGCAAAAGCCGGCGGCAGTGACCAGAAAAAGACTTCACTTCCTGTACAATCATCCCCCAGGCTACTTCCAAAGAAAGGCGCATCCCTTCATAACTTAGCCACACACTTGGAACCGCCAAGCAGGAGCCTCTCCATGGGATCAAGAATTCTTCAGTTGGAAGATTCTCCAGAGGAAAATCAATCAGCTTTAGCAGTGCCTCAGCGGTCCCCTTCACCTGCCTTGAATGGTAATGGCAGTGCTGTGAAAAACAACAAAGATAAGTCCATCAACAGTTTGAACCTTGCTGATGCTGGGACAGCAGAGCAAAAAGAAATGCAGATACCAGTTAAGGTAATTATGAACAGCGAAAAGAGAGATAATGCTGATTCTGAAGACTGCCACATTGGAAAAGGCCCATATGACATAAAGGTACATTCCAGAATTACACCCGAAGGTGATTGTCTGAGTGACAGGACTAAGAACCATGGAAGTGGAATGAGTTGTTCAGATCACAATGGATGTGAAATTAAGCCATTAAGATCTGATAGCGTTGGGCCTTTTAAGAAAGAGCCTTCTAGTCCTCTTTATCCCTCTGTTCAGAAAGAGCAATCAAGTCAAGAAATTCAGCGCACTTTCATTGAGGTCAAACTGTCTTCCTCGGCCTGTTTCATACCATCGGCACTATTTCCAGAAGTGTCTTTGGAGAAAGGGGAAAGTACCAAGACGAAAATCAACCAGCCAGAAACTGAGGTGCAAAATTGTAGGCAGAACACTTTTGAGGAGGAAAATGTGCACAGCACATTAAAACCTGTAACAAGAACCTATTCAATGCCTGCCCAATTATCAAACCATTTGAGAGAAGAGAGCAATACCATGGATGTTCCAGCACATCATGTCCAGGATATCCTGAACAATGAAAAGCATCCACATACAGAGATGGGTATGCTGAAAATTGTTCATCTCAGTCTGATGAACGGCCAGAGAATTCAAGATGACAAAGAGACATGTAATAATATCCCCAAATCAAGCAGTCAAGAACCACCCATGGCCATGGACAATGGTGGCCGCATTGCAGAAAAATTAAAAACATGCAGGAGGAATTACTACTATTATGAACTTAACTGGCCACATGATCCTGTTTCGTCTTTTTCTGTGAAACAGCGAATTAAATCTTTTGAGAACCTTGCCAATTTCGATAGGCCAATGGTCAGAGCCATAGACATTCATTCCACCTCTCTCAGTTCTAAACTTCCCATCGGTAGAAGGTTTTCTGGTGGTGTTTCTGCAGTCTCGGCAACCAGTGTGAATGATGCGGTCCAGGCACTGAGACGGAGCTTGAGTTCCTACTGCGAAAGTGAAGTCCTGGCAGCCCCACCAATGGCAAAATCATCAACCAGTGCAGCGTTGACATGTGTGCGACCCAATTCCCCTGAGGACAGCAGAGGTGATCCTCGCTTGGAGAAGAGTGAAAGGTGTGGTGCTTTGCCCCCATCTGCCCCCAGCGTCCGAAGAAACAAGGCCTCAGGTGGGCACATCAGACACGCTCCTTTATCCCGCTCTAAGCTCCGGGAGCTTCGGGCCTTGAGCATGCCAGATCTTGATAAGTTGTGCAGTGGGGATCTCTCTTTGGAGGCCGAACCCCCCCATTTCAAAACAGAACTGGAAGTTACACCCTCAGCAAGTTCCCTTGATCTTCCCATCGAAAAAATCTCCAGTCTGAATGAATGCACAGAGCTCTCTGGTCTTGTGGCAGGAAGCAGCCAGCATTCCAGAGAAAGCAGTCCCTGGAACAGCGGCTCTGGTACTCCCGGGTCGGCTTCTGATGAGGAAGGATTGCAACACGATGCAAGCCTGAACAAGAGACACCTGGGGAAGAGCTGGTCCATCAGGTTAGTTTCACCATTTTTCGATATGGGGTTTGTATCAGGAGTGGCGGCATTCCAAAGACCGAAAGCTGTATTGTCTGTACTCTGGGCTGTGTACTCTGTATTAAGACATTAAGATTTTGTGTTCAGGTTATCTGAGTCCTCTTCCAAGAACACCTGGATTCGGCAACAGTTGTGGAATAATGTGCAGCAGATTTGCATGCAGAGTTGCATATTCTCTTTCTCTTTTGTATAATAAACCTGCAGTTTTAAAGCAAGTTATGCGGTCTCCTGGGCTACTCCTCCCACAGCACCTGCTTCTGAGGAAGTACCCCCTCAGAGCCTGGAACTGGAGCTTTCCCAGCTAATGCTGCTCTCCAGAGAGCCTGCCCACCCTCCTGCCCATGCTAAGAGATTTTATAACAGAAGCCAGAGAGCAGGTAACCAAGAGTATCTGCAGGTCATCATGTGAGCAAAACAGAGCACAGGGAGCTGTTCCTGAGTGCCCTGTGGCTGCTCTTGATGCAGCATTTGGGACCAGCAGGGCTCCCCAGAAGAGCGGCAGTTGAGCTGGTGGGCGAGCCTGGTGGCCCCACCCCCCCACTGCTACAAACACCGTGGCAGAAGAGTGGGCAGTGGGGCTCTCGGGTCACCCGTGGGAAGCAGCAGCATGGGGAGCGTGAGCTTCAACTCATGCTGCCTCATGGGAGGGGCGGCCCTATAAGTTGCCAAGCCAAGGATGCTGAACCTCAGTCCTGGGGGCAAACTCAACCCTCAGGGTGTCTCCGTCCCTGGCTACTCCCAATGCCCGTGCTGATTCCCCTGGTCCCACCTTTTTACCAAACCACTGAACATGTGGTGGAGTCGCAGCTTTTGTGCAGTTCCTCCGTTTGCAAAAGCTTGCAGTGCTTAGTTATTAGCAGCAACTTTAAGCTTTACATTTTAGCCCCAACCTTTTGCCTTAGGCCCCTCTTACCACCGCAGTCTCCATAAACTTCTCTGGAACGGTCGCTGATGCTTCAGCTAAAAGCAGTTTCGTGCCCCGACATTAAGTACACATCCACAGTCTCTCTCAGTACCCCACTGCATTTCTATCTTTTAGCTTGGATCAGCTCCTGGTTTCTACTCTGGATCAGCAAAAATTGCAGCTGGTTTTGTCTTCAGTGACCACAAAGTCAGACCTCGCTTCTTTACTTCGGGATGCTAAAGTACAAGCAGAGGTGAGCCCAGACAACACCAAAATGGAAAGTGTTGGTGGCCAATATTTGTAAAATGCCTGCAGAAATGATTGCTAAGCTTTAAAGACAGCTTAAGATCTTTTCCTGTGCTTTTGTTTTTAAGAGGGAAGGAAAATAGCTAATTTGCTTATATTATAGCTCGGTAGATTTGGGGTTGTTTAAAAGAAAACCTTTCTGGCATTGTCAAAGTTAACCCAGAGGAATAACGGCCCAACAGAGACATTGGTACTGTTGCTCCTTGTGCTTCTTACCCGTTGCTGTGTAGGGTGTTCTGACCACCTTCTCTTCCAAGTGGATGTCTACTCCGGCAACTGTAGCCTCTGTGCACTTGCATGCAAGTTTGGCGTTACTCTTTTACTGACCCAGACACTACGCGTAAACAAGAATGCCAACATCTATAAATGTTCCCAAAAGCTGCTGTGCCTTTTTATATCCAGTTCTCAAGGTCTGTTCCTCATCAGGAGTTGCCACCTACCCTCGCTTATGCCTAGTCTTGACAAGACTTTCTGTGCTAGAAAAACCTAGACTGGATTTTCCCATTTCAGTGCTGATGCTTCAGTCCAAAAGGTCATTACTGCCGGTACCTGTCAGTGCCCTGATCTGGCCAAAGAAACTATGCATCAGAGTGTGCCTGGAGCAAGAGGCTTGGCACAAATTGGATGCATGTCCGAAGGAGCATTAGAAAGTCCACCAGCTGGAGCTGCTGCTTATGAGCATTCCATCCCACTGAAAATGAGGCAACTTTGAATTTACTTCATTTATTTCTTAGATTTATATCCTGCCTTTTTTTTTAAAGAACTCACTCTCCTCCTACTACTCTCAATCTTATTCCCGCAATCACCCTGTGACATTGTTTGTGCTGAGAGCCTGTGACTGGCGAAAGTCGCCCAGTTGGCTCTGTGGCTGCACAGGGTTTGGAGATTGCCTGAGTCCCAGTCCCACACCTTTAACCAGTACACCACACTGGCTCTCATTTTCACCAGAAAGTTTTAAATTGGAGTTGCACTGTGGCACAGTTTCTTAAGCCCAGCCTGATTGTATGAAGTTATAAACCAGGAGTTCCATCCTTACAGGCAGCCTAGAAATAACTTTAGATAAATACGAGAGCTTAGCAACAGGTGGGGTATTTACATTTCCCATTTTCTTCCATGTTAGCACAGGGCTATCCTATTCCACGCTTGAAAACCAGGTTACAATTCAGTGGTTTCATTCTAAAAGGCAGCATTGCATGGAGTTTTAAGGAAATACATTCTGAGTGACCCAGCAACCCTCTGATATATTTAAGCAGGACATTTATTTAAGGAATTTCTATCCAACCACTGCCCTAAATCAAATCTTAAAACATAAAAACAGGAAACCACTCTTTTGTTCCCATTGTAAAATATGCCACAAATCCATTTCCCAATCCGACTTAGTAATCCAGGAAGGCCAAATCAGGAGGCCAGGGGGCTTTCTCATCCTTCAGGCAGACGTGCAGAATGGTTTTCACACAGAAATGCTGGCAGCATCAGAAAGAAATGTTCAGAATGGACGTCTATGCTGCACACAAAGCGACAGCCAGGGCTTGGGAGATTTTATGAACCTAGCAGCTAAGTCTTGGCTTGAAGTGGCTACTGATCTTCTCCAGGGAGGGAGGTGCACCATCAGACTCCCCAGTGCTGAACCCCAGCTGGAAATTGGTGCCACTCTCTTAGAAGATAGGGATCCTGTTTTTCATTATTTTTTAAATAAATGATAGGCATGAACATGTTAGTGCTGACTGCCAGCTGGACTTAGGCCTGACCTAAGACACCCTGAAACCTCAGTGAAAGGCAGACTTTCTGAGGGGATCTAGTTAGAGGGGGAAAGCAGCAAACCTAGAAGCTGCTGTCCACCTCAGGACAGGGGCAGGCTCTCTCTGTGACGAAATTCTGCAGTATGCAAAATATTTTCTCATAAAAACTAAGTACAATGCAGAGCTATAAGTCCGAGACGAAGGGGCAGCCTCACCCACCATTGCTGCTTCCTTTCACACCCGCTCTAGGGATCCGCTTGAGCATCTGGACTGCTTCTCTTCAGCCAGCCCTGCCTTCTTTCCGGATACTCCCTACTCCATTCTCCCTCCCACAGATCTTTGCACCCCGGCCACAGTAGGCACTCTGCCTTCCATGCCCACAGAATGCAGGGCTGCCATCGAGGGCAAGCGTGGTGGGGTGGCCACTGAGGGCTCACTCCTCAGCGAGGGCCCACTGGCAAGAGCCTCCGAGATCCGTTCCTTCCCTGCACCATCAGCACTTGCTCCTTCACACAGACTCCTGAGCGTTGCAAGTTGAGGGAATGCTCCTTTCCTCAGACGCTTTGTTCTTACTGATCATTTTGCATCCAGAGCAACTCTGCGACCGGTCCAAAACCTTGCAGAATTAACATGTCTGCTATAAATTCCTTTGGTTTCTTTGAACAGCATTTTTATTGTCAGCAGTACTGTGGGCTCTTTTTTTTTCTTAATGAGAAATATATCATGATTCCATAATTAAGTGGGCTGTTCTAGAAACCCATCTGGGGGATTCATCAGTGGCCCTAGTTTGTAGGTTGCTATGCCTGGGAAATCTTTGAATTCTCCAATGAATGTCTTTGATGCTTGCCCTTCCATCAGGCTCACATGACTTTAGCAAAACAAGCATTCAGCTAGAGGGGGAAGAAGCTCAGAAGCGCACTGCATGTTACATACATATGCATTTAATAGGGCCCCGATGCCAGGTGACTTTTATGGGAGGCCATCGAGTGGGAGGCTTTGAGTGGAGAAGGAAGGAAGTCCTGGGTACATACTCCGGTGAGATAAACTAAGTCGAAAGAAAGTCCCTTGGCAAGATCTCGTGTTATCAGTTGATGAAAACGGCTGGACAGTGAGCATTTTGGGGGGCCTCGTAACTTGCAGGATGGGATTTCACAAGACCATCACACAAAGGTGAAGGCAGATTACCTTCCATGGTTGCAGAGAGTGGCTTGATTTTTTCCCCCAATGTTCTGAACTTTTGAAAGCCATGCAATCGTGGTCTTGTCACCCCGTGTCTATTGTTCACCAAACTGGTATCCCTGGGGCAGTTTGAGGCCTGTGCTTTGCCTTTATGAGAGCTCTTGATCCGCCTGAGAGTAACCCCAGGAGAAAAAGACCTCCCACCACCTCTCCACACTTCAATACCCGCCTAAAGCTTGCGAGTCCCATGAGCTTGGCTGAGCCAGGTGGGTTTGGCGAATTTTGCAGAAATACTAAGCATGGGTTTAGTTCCCAGCCAAAAGTCATCAAATGCATTTTTAAGTATTTTCACATGGGATCTTTAGAGAGATTATTTATTCATGCCCGTTTGTAAAATCCAAGAACTCAAATATTTATGAAACTGAATGCTTTTTGGAACATGGTCCATGTCTGAATACTTTCTCACATCTGCTCTTACGTCCAAAGTGGGACAGGGGCTGGAAAACATTATGCAATGAATAACACTGACTTTCAGGCCAAAGTAGGATGATTCTCACTCTTGTAAAATCATCTAAGTCTCTTCTCCCTGTACTGGTGGTAGCAATTTCTAGGGCCTAGCATGCTGCAACCTCACCTTGTAAGGGGCTATGAAATTGAGTCACTGACTCCCTAACCTGAATTGCACATCATGGATACCCCCAGGGTTTGTTTAAATAAACCCTGGATAGTTGTGAGCAAGCTGGAGTGAGCGAGTGTGCTGGCTTCTGGCTGTTCACCTTCCCCTGCTGGGCTCCATAGGACAAGGATGATGCTTAGCTTGGCCTCTGAACCTGAAATTGTAAGTTGCTGTGGAAGAAAACACCCAGAGTTAGACCTTACGGTGTGTTCCCAGTTTCTAACTCTGCACTGTTCCCTCCAGATTGCTCCTGCTTCATTCACAACAGCTCACGATTTAACAAACTGCGAGTCGTTACGATGTGCAAACTGTGTCATTTTCTGAGCCACCAAGCTCACTGGGCATAGGAGGAGCTGCAGGCCCTAACATCCTGGGGTAAGAACCCTTAAGACAAAAGCCTCCTGGCCAGAGATCCTGGAGGTCGGCTTGCGCCAGCCTTTCCCTGCGTCCTCCTGCAGGGCCAGCTGCACCGCTGGAGAGAAGAGGCTAATGGCACAGCAGCAGGGGCCACCGTTGCTCATTCGCTCTGCTGAAGGGCACCACTGTGTGTGCTAGGCAGAGCCTGCATTGAGTTGTCCCGCTGGTCGCCGGTTCGGTGAAGGGTTCCTTGATTGCTTATGTGTGGGCCACTCAGCACCCCTTTGACACAGCTTCTTCTCTGGGTCAAGGCACACTAGCACTTAAAAACAAATTCGAAGCTGTGTCACTGGGACGTCCAGATGATGATGATGATAATGATCATCATTTCTATACCCGCCCGGCCCCCAGCTGATCCTCTCTGGGCAACTTACAAGAGTCCATAAAACAGATAATAAAATACAATAAATATCTAAAATCAGGAGGCTTTAAAAAGTTTGAAACAGCTAAAACCAAATGATAAGAAACACTTTGTAAAACACTTGGGATGAGCAACAATTCCTGCATCCCTAAGAAATAGTGGATTCTATCCACTGATGGCTTTGCCTTTCTAGAAATAACTTCCAGTAGTTAGAAACATAGAACCAGAGTGAGTCAGAAGGGGCCTCCCAGGCCATCTAGTCTGACCTCCGGCTCCACCCGGCTCTGCTCATGACATGCCTACCATGTACATGTTCAGCCTATCTTTGAACACCCTCACTGATCGGGCTTCAACCACCTCCCATGGAAGCCCATTCCATGCCCTAGGGGTCCTGACTGTCGGGGAAGTATTTCCTGGCATGCAGTTTGAACCTTGGTTCCCTGAGCTTTGCTCCATTTGAACGCATCCTGCCCTCCTCTACAGGGGAAAACAGGTCTCTACCCACCTCCGTGAGATCCCCTCTCATGTGCCTGCATGTTGCCAAGAGATCCCCTCTGAGTCTCCTCTTCTCCAGGCTGAAAAGACCCAGTTCCCTCAGTCTCGCCTCATACGGCTTTCTCTGCAATCCGGCCACCATCCTTGTGGCCCTACGCTGCACCAATTCCAACCTGGCTGTATCTGTCTTGTTAGGGTCTTCACTTTTCATGGATGCCCCACTTATAGAAAGCAGCCCTCCAGACCATATCCCATGTTGCCCTGGAAGGACCCCAATCCTAAGGAGCAACCATGAATGGCTTAAAAGGGAAGGAAATCTAGTGCCACTTCTTTGAGTGAAACTGCTGTCCACTAAGGCAGGGGTGGGCAGCGGCCAGGGTTAGGGGGCTACCATCCCAACTGCCACCCCATTTGCTGCCCCCACTCCCAAAATTACCACTGAATATGTTGCAGAGGCAGCAAAAGAATCAGTAATTTTGCAAACCATGAACATGGTTCCTTTCACAATCTAGGCGTGTGCTCCTTTGCACACTTTCTCTGCTTGCAAAATGGCTGCTATTTTATTTTATTTCTTACTGCTGCAGCAATATTAACAGTTGAGGGCCTGGGTAGCTAAAAAGATCTGTCTAGTGCCAAGTGACTGGCAGGGTAGGCATCAGGCAAGCCTCCCTGGGCAGAGACATCCCTAAGCAGGGTGCCTGCACAGAGAAGGCCCTCTCCTAGCGACTACTCCTCTTACTGCTAGAACAGTGATGACGAACCTTTTAGAGACCGAGTGCCCAAACTGCAGCCCAAAACCCACTTATTTATCACAAAGTGCCAACACTGCAATAAAACCTGAATACTGAGGTTTTAGTTTAGAAAAAACAACTCATACATTAACATCTTTTGTCTTAAAAGAAAAACACAATAACAGAGCTATCAATGATACAAACAGCTTTTTGTTGAAAGGTAAAAGTTTGCATTTGGCATGCTTTTGCACAATTCATGTGATCTTTGCTGTTGTGTGCATGCTGATAATTCACCAAACCTTGGCTCAAATATGCCAGGGGGACAGCTCAACATTAAAAGAATCTCAGTCTCTTTATTAGAAAATCTCTTTGCTAAATCTTAGATGTTAATTTTCATTTTTTCATAAGAAAACTCAAAGCTAAAATCTTGTGTTAATAAAAACGAATGTATTAAAACTCACAGCCAGGCCAAGCAAATATCTCTCTCTCTATCTGTCTCCTTGGCAGTGCACTGACCGGCCATGCAAGGGCTAATGATGTCATGGCTCTTGACATCAATGCCTGGTGCCACTACCCTTTTCCGAGTATGGCCCCTGTGTGCGCTGTTATCCGATGCTTGGCTGCTGGGGCGATGCTGGGGGGACTTGGGGGGACGCGTGCCATAGGTTCACCACCACTGTGCTGGAGTATCTGGAGAAAGGTCTCCAAAGATGATCTCACAGTGCTTGGGCAAGCAGCAGTGGAGGTAGGGACTCTTGCGGGTATCCTGATCTTAAACTTCACCTGGTAGTGAAGAAGTTTCAAAATTGGTGAAATATGTTCCCAACACTTGGTCCCAGATCAAGCATCCTGCAGTTTTATTTTGTACTGACAGAGGTTTCAAAGGCAGCCCTATGTATAATGCACTGCAACCAAGAGGGATGGGGGCACTCGTGCTCTCCTTGCTCTTCACAGTCCACATGTGCTTTACTTATTGCATAGCTAAACTCAAAATGTCTCTTTTTCTCCTCCCATATGCAACTGACCAGACCTTAAGGTCATCTGTGGAGGTCCTTTTGTGGGACCCACCTTTAAAAGAGTAAGGAAGATGGTCATGGCCTTCCCAGTTGTGGCACCCAACTTTGGAATCTGCTCTCCAGGGCGGTGTGCCTGCTGCCAACTCTGTATACATTTTGGCACCAGGTTAAAACCATTTTATTTTCCCAGTGTTTTAATTGCTGAACATTTTACTCGATTTTACACTGGTTTAGGGATGCAGGTAGCACAGTGGTTTAAACTGCTGTGCTGCTGGGCTGGTTGATTGAAAGGTCACCTGCACAACGGGGAGAGTTCCCATTGCTCCGTCGCAGCTCCTGCCAACCTTGCAGTTTGAAAGCATGCGAACGCCAGTAGATAAAAAGGTGCCACTTCAGTGGGCAGGTAACAGCGTTCCATGCACCTTGGTGTTTAGTCATGCCGGCCGCATGACCACGGAGACTGACTGCGGACAAATGCTGGCTCCCTCGGCTAGGAAATGGAGATGAGCACCGCCCCCTAGAGTCAGGCATGACTGGACTTCACGTCAAGGGGAAACCTTTATCTTTACTTTACCTTTACACTGGTTTTACTGTCACTGACATACTGTGGATTAATCATTTTTGGTGCTATGTATTATCCTTTGGTTAGTTGTTGTTCACAATGCTCCTTTCTGATGGATGTTTTAGATGTTTTATTGGCATCAGATATGTATATTATGTTTTATATGTTTTTTTTATCTTGTACACAGCGCTGAGAGATTTTTCCTAATTAAATGGTTTATAAAGGCTTTACATCTAATTAATTACATAAATATTTGACTATTTTAAAAGTATACCTATGTTAAATCAAGTTTTTATGATCACCTGGAAGTTCTTTTTTTAATACTTGAGGTCCTTCTAACATTCCAGGTATCTCAAAAGTTTTGTTAGCATTTCTTCTGTGTTTTTAAACTTCAACTATTTCTTCTTTCCCTTTGTTTTTCTTTTTTGTTAGAGCAAAGAAGATGTTTACTTTGTAGTCCTGAATAAAGAGGAAGGCTCTGGCTTGGGGTTCAGTGTTGCTGGAGGAGTAGACCTGGAACAAAAATCAATCATCGTAAGTGGTGACAGCATCTTTCTCGCAAGTGGGTTGCAAAGCCAGCTGGAGAGCAGATCAAGTGCTCGTTTATCAAGTCTGTCCCCAGGCATAAAGTCCTGTTGTGAACAGCGGCTTGCATGGCTTTGAATACCATCTGCTCATGCGATCAGAGGGGAAACAGGCCAGGTGCCTAATAAACCCTGATGCACGCTTGTGCTAAATAGGAGCCTCAGATAGGCTCAGCCACACCTCTTGAGGATTTAGGGTCCATGGGATCAGCTGTGTCCAAGTCCTAGTGATCATCAATCATATGCCCTGCGATTCCCAAACTGTGCCGGGGAAGCCCCTGCACCATGAGGGAGCATCCAGTCAGCGGCACGAAAATAAATTTATTAAGTAACAAAAGGCTCCCATGAACTCAAAGTGCCTGCCTCTGCAGCATGTTCCAGGGTCAGTGGTTTGGTGGAAGCATCAAGCTGCTTCCTAAGCCAACTTAAAATGTTTTAAGTCACAGCTTTGCGCTTGGGCTCTTGGGTTCATGCTAGAAGAAGTCAGCATTAACTTGACGGGTAAGCTCTTCAGGGACTTTGGGCACAAACAGGAAATGCCCCAAATGTGCATGGTGACTGGAAAAGCAGGGGATGAGAAATATTTGAGAATTTCTGGGGAGGGGCTAACTTATCTTCATTTATTTAGATGCAAGGGGGTTAGCAGCTGTGTGGTCCGTCCGTCCTTCCTTCCTTCCTTCCTTCCTTCCTTCCTTCCTTCCTTCCTTCCTTCCTTCCTTCTTGTGAGTTGCTGTGCCTGCTGTTATGAAGTGGAGTAAGGAAAGCCTGCAGCCACCTCATTTAGCAGTAAAATGAACTGCCTGCTTCCATTTTCAAACTTTTAACACAACATCCCCTGCCCCTCAAAGCAGCTGAAAATCTCCTCCTTTGGCAAGGCATAGACAGTCCCAGAATAGCAAGGAGAGATTGCAGTTCCATCCTTATTCTTAACAAGATTCTGCTTTCTCCCAGGAAGCACAACACACTCAAGCTGCATTTGGTGGCTCCGTCATGTTTGTACACCATGGAGGCTGCCAGCGATCTCTGCGCGATCTGCTGCTCTGACCTTGCCTCCTCCTAAGTAGGCCCTGATGCAGGCAGGCCATTGCGCACCTGCTGATGCAGAGGCCCAACAGAACTGTTGCCCCCCAGAGAGCCTGCCTGTTGCATCCTGCACAGATCAGGGCTCTGGGCATGACTCTTTGCATTCAGATTGGAAACAGACAGTGAGTAACAGCTGCACAATAAAACCTTTTGGGTGCAAGAGTGTAGCACGAGAAAATATTTTTTCTAGTTTAATTTAGATAAAAAGGGTGCTCTACTGACTAGAAGTTTGGAAACACTGCTTTGCTATCATGGCCAATATTTTATCTGGCTGCTTTCATTGGATTTGTAGCCCACTTTACCCTTAGATCATAGGGTGGGTCAGAAAAATCCTATATTTTTTAAATTCTTTGAGCAATTCAATCAGAATCAGGACTCATATTTATTTTATTTTTATTCATTGTACTTCTGCCCCTGGAGCACACAGCAATTTGCATTTGGTTAAGCAATGTCCCATCTCATCCAGACAGCTGTCAGAGGCAGACTGAAATTCAGCAGCAGAATTGCATAATGTGACTGGAGATTATAATCCAAGGGGCGTATCTACCTCCAGCACTTGCCCCCAAATTATTGCAAGAATTGTATGTCTAAACATTAGGAATTGCTCTTTCTGAGCTTGTCTGACATTGCAAATTTTATGCTGTAAGGCACTTATCTGTCACTGAACAGTTTCTGCAAAGTAGATAGCATTAAGTACACATGTAGCTATTCAAAGGGCCTGCTCTTCTCTCTTCTCTTCTCTTCTCTCCTCTCCTCTCCTCTCCTCTCCTCTCCTCTCCTCTCCTCTCCTCTCTACATGCACACACTTTTTGTAAAGAGTGCACTCCCTGCTATTTTACAGCCAAGAGGAGGTCCATCTTCAGGAGTGTCAGATACCCCAAAACTCTCCTCTGCTTTGCTTCCAAGAAGATGCCTGGGGTGCAGTCCTGTGCAGCTTTAGACAACAGGAAGGCCTATACCTCCAAGCATGGCTGTCTAGGGCATGCCGGGATATGTAGGCTGTTTTTCTGTTTAAACTATGTAGAATTGCATCAGTAAAGAAACTGTCTTTCTATAATGGAAAAGAACATTCTGGAAAGGGTTACAGTAGGCCTTACCTTACCGTAGACTCATTGAATAGTAGAATTGAAAAGGGCCAGAAGGCCATTAGATCCTGCTCAGTGCAGGAGACCAGTTAAACGATTCCTCTCAGATGGCTGTCCAGTGGCACCTTGAATGCCATAAGTGTGGGAAAACCCACTGCCTCCCTAGGCCATTGGCTCATTGCCATACTGCTCTAACGGTCAGGAAATTCTTCCTGATGTTCAGCTGGAACCTGACTTCCTGTAACTTGAGCCTGTTATTCCGTGTCCTGCACTCTGGGATGATGGAGAAGGGATCTTGTCCTCCTCCTTTGTGACAGCATTTCAAATTCTTGGTGAGTGCTCTCATAACTCCCCTCAGTCTTCTCTTCTCAAGGCTAAACATGCCCAGTTCCTTCAACCTTTCCTTTGTCTCCAGTCCCTGGATCATCCTTGCTGCTCTCCTCTGCACCCTTTCCAACTGGGCACAGTTCTCCAGATGAGGCCTAACCACTGCTGAGCAATGGGGAAGTAGTACTCCACAGGATTTGGAAATCTAATCTGCATGCCATTAATGCAGCCGAAAATAGCATTTGCCCTTTTTGCAGCCACAGCACATTTTTGGCTCATATTCAGCTTGTGATCTACAACAATCCCAAGTTCCTTCTCATTTGCAGTATTGTTGAGCCCACCTGGCACTTGTCCCTATTGAATTTCATTCTGTTGTTTTCAGCCCAGCAGTCCAGCCTATCGCTGCACTGCTTTTACGGTGCTTGCAGAATGACTGCTTTATAATCTGCTCTAGAATTTGTCCAGGGATTGATGTCAGACTGACTTGTCTGTAGTTCCCAGGTTGTTCTTGAGGGACAACATTAGCCCTTCTCCAGTCATTCCTGTCCTCCATGACTTCTCAAGGGTAATAGGCAGTGGTTTTGAGAGTTTTTCTACCAGAATAAATTGATAACTTTTGCATGAATATTCATTCAGGAAAAGAGGTATTTTAGCTTCCCTCTGAGGACTGCTATATGTATTGTTATTCAGTACATGAAGGGATTAGTCTTCATGCGCAAGAATGCTGGCGTATTTGATTTCCCTCATGCATTTGACTGGCTACTTACTCAAAACCAGCAAGGCTGTTCTACATATTCATAGAAAATGATAACATATGAAGCATTCATGACATAATCCCATTTTAATATTATTTATATTATTTCAGCATTGATCGTCACCTTTCAGGGCTTCCCTTCCCAAAGTGTTCCACCACCTATTAAGAAGCATATAATTTTAATCTGTAGAGCCACAATCTATAAAACACAAAAGCATCTGAAAATGTTGAGTCAGTAGCTGTGAAAACACTATGAACACTATATATATAATAGTATATATCATTACATTATTTAATTATAATTAAGTAAGTGTGTGTGTGTGTGTGTGTACATATAGCAAGATAGTCAGGATGAATTTAGCCATGAAGCTCACTGTGACTTCGGGCCAGTCTTGGGCTCTCAGCCTCACAGGGTGGTTGCAAAGATGGAGAGGAGGAGAATTATCAAAGCCACCTTGGGTTCCTTGCAGGAAAAAGGCAGGATAGAAATACAACAAATAAATATATCAGGCAGCAGATAAATGCAGTATTAAAAATAGCTGGTAAATATGGAGTTTAAAGCATTAAAAAAACCTTTCTCTCAAGCAACTTTGTGTTTGCCAGATTAAATCCCATCTGTATTTCAGTGGAGAAATTGCTCATACTAGAAAGAAAGCGTCAGCAATAGGAGGACAGAAAAGCTATTTTAAAATGATGTCGAGAGAAATGCCCAGGAGGTTTTGCGATGGCTCATGTACGTATTGTTTCTTTAAACAAACAAACAAACAGGCCATAGAGGAAAGGTCCACCAATGAACTTGGGGCACAATAATTAATCATCTCCTTGTTGTAACATAAGGACAGCTTGCACAGATTGGGGGCCCTGCATCCGAGAAGGGGGCTGGCTCAGATGGTCTTTTAATGCCTGCCAAGTTTGCAACTCTGTGAAAGGACCTCTGTTCAAGACCGGTATACATGAAAAGGGGTGGCCGCCTTTGTAAGCCTTGCTTTTGAGCTTCCCAGGAGTATCTCACTTGCCAACCTTGGGGACAGAATGCTGCCCTAGATTTACCTTTCCGTGCATTTAGCAGCACTGGCCGTATGTGCCTCTAAGGCAGGCATAGTTTCAAAACTATTGTTCGCCTCAGAGGCAGCTGCAGATACTACTGCAGGGCTCTCTGGGCAGCTTACAACAAGACAAAAAATCTTGTTGGGGCAGCCTTCCCCAACCTGTTGCCCACCTCAGAAGCATTAAAATATGACACCCATCCTCCCCAGCTAGCATGGCCTGACCATCCTGGCTGGGAACAGTGGGAGATAGAATCCAGATAGCATATCTGGAGGACACAGGTCAATATGGAAATGTTCTTTGATCAATTGGACTGCCAGCGTTAATGGAGTAGATTAATCAACTACTGTATATATTTGGTTGGTTGATTCAGGCAAGGGGCACTTGTAATCACTGGGCTGAGAATTAAATATGTGTTACTTTATCCTTTTTGAAAGGCTGCTTTGAGTTTCATGTGCTGCGTTTAGCAGGAGAGGAAAAAGGAAAAAGAGAACGGCATGGTTGGCTGGTCCAGGTGGGTTTGCAGGCCAGGAAGCAGCATCCTCAGGCCAGTCGTTCCCCATGCCCATTCTAATGACTGGTGCTTTCCCTTGCATGGGCTCTTCCCTCAGTGCAGAACCTGAGGCTGGTAATGGGGCTGCATCAGGGCATCCTTGGGTTGCTTCAGTCAAGCCCTTGCAGAACCTCACGCACCCTCCCTTCACAGTCACAAAAGTACCGATATTCAAACAATCAAGGGGACGAAAGGCAACTTCTTTAACCAACTCTGCTGGTTGAATCGTGCTGAAAGTTGCAGGCCATTTTCCCTCCTACACTTACGTAGGATTGTGCCCCAGCAATTCTTTACCCGGTTGACAGCCTTCTTCACAATATGCTCTCTCCAAGGTTCATCGGGTGTTTTCCAAGGGGGTGGCATCTCAGGAAGGAATAATCCACCGCGGAGACCTCATTCTTTCCATCAACGGCGTCTGTCTGGCAGGATCCATGCACGGCGACGTGCTCAATGCTCTTCACCAGGCAAGGCTCCACAAATACGCCATTGTTGTCATCAAGAAGGAGAGAGACGGCGAGAGCGGGACTGAAAAGTCTACTGGCAAACAAGCCTTAGCAGCTGCAACAAAGGGGAAAGGAGCAGGTACAGCACGGGTTCAGCGGCGGCTGTGATGGATTTAGCACAAGGAGAAGCCGGGTGGGGGGGTGCGGACGCGTGCGGACAGGCACGGGTCGCCCCATATGTTTCATGTTAGAACTGCGCGTTTAAACAATTTGGATGCAGCAAGTGAAAATACACTTGAGTTTTTGTCAGGACTCTGTTGGAACCAAAACAACATCTTAAGCAGTCCTCAGAGCAGGTAGAGCTTAGCGATTGCAGGCCCGGTTTAACCTATGTGGAGTTGAACGAGGTGTTTCCCATCAGGCCAACTGGAAATCTGATCAGGCCAGTCAGATGTTGGTTTATGTGCAAGGTAATAATTATGAACGTTTTAGCATCCATTCCCAGAGACATTTGGATTTACACACGTTTTTGCAATCCAAGATTAAACTGCTCCAACAGAGATGCAGGACTTTTATGCCAATAGCTAAAAAGGATCCCAACATCACAATTGTCTGTTAATTCCAAGCAATGGAAATGACACGGGGAAGGAAAAACTGAATGGTGATTTATTTCTCCCGAAGGGCTGAGAAGCAGGGATGTCCATGAGGCTTCGCTGGGGATTGTCCAGTGCTCCCCTTTGGCACAGCCTTCCCACCTGGCAACTACCCAAGGCTTGATCGCGAAAACAAGGTTGATTGAGTGCTTTTTGTGGCTCTTTTTCTCCCCTGAAGGTCCATGCGAAGAGCTGAGTGGTGCCATTTGCATTGACCTTTTGAAGACTTCTGCTGGCTTGGGGTTCAGTCTGGATGGAGGGAAAGCTTCCATCGCTGGAGACAGACCTTTGCTTATCAAAAGAATTTTTAAAGGTACTTGGAAAGCTGTTTTCCAGAGCCTCTGTTCCTTGGCAGTCCCTTCCATCGGAGGCAGTGAGCTGTGGCTATAAGCAATGCATATTTATTGTATTGTATCTGTTGGGGGCAGCGGGAGTTGGCAAGAGTGCCTTGCTTCTCTTTTTGGAGAGAATTAAAATCCTTTCTCCTTGCTTCCAAGCAGTTAGCAGCTAAGAATGCAATCCTGTGCACACTTAGCGAGAAAAAGGGCATATAACTCCCAGTTCTAGGACTTTTTAAAACTTCGGTGATTTGGGTTCTTTTAATCATTCATTCATTTGTACATTCATTTCTATACTGCCCAATAGCCAAAATTTCACCCCACAAAAATGGCAACCTCCAAATGCAAGATAGTAAAAACTTAATAGAAAATCTGTAACATATGAAATTCAAAATCAGTTTTAAAACATTTAAGAATACCTGAAGTAAGATACTGGAACCTGATAAAATAGTTGACATAAATGTCAGTCATTTGTGCCTGAATGTCTGGGAATAAAAGATGATCTTGGTTTAGCACTGAAAATATGACACCATTGGCACAAGGTGGATCTGAGAGATGAAAGTGCCCCACAATCGGGGGTGCCAACACTGAGAAGGCCTTCCCACTTTTTGCCGTCCTGTAAGCATCCCTTGGAAAAGCACCTCAGTTACTCCCTGTCGGGTCTGGGAAGGTTCATGCTTATTTTGCCCATTTCCAGAGGGATCGCTGACAGGTTGCAATCCTACAATAAGTGTGGGCAGAAGTTAGTTCAGTCTTTACTGGTAGATCTTGGGTGATTTGCAGCAGATTGGCACGGGTTAATTATTTCCAGTAGCTGAGCAGTAGCAAGCAAACTCAGAAGTACATTTCTGGGTAGCAAGTGGCACAAGGCACAAAAGCAGCCCTGGAGAAGCCCCCCAGGGCTTTCCTCGATGGCAAATGGCTGCCAGCTCCATAACGACAGGCACCAAACAACCCAGTTCACTTTGGCCCAGGCTTCCCAGGGGTCAGTCCTTGGAACATGCCATGCAGGGGATCGTGGAACTGCCCCCCACCTGCTTCCTTGCCCTCTGCTACCCCTCTGAGGAGGAGCAAGCTTGCATTTTTCAATTCCCCACACACAGTTTTTCAATTTCTTGTCTCATCTGCATGAGCTTCTTTATTCTGCCAGTATATTTTTCATTCATCACCAGCGTAAGGTTTGTTTCCCTTTTTACTTTCCTAGCCTTGGGCACGTTCTGTCTCTCAAACTCTGTTCTGCCTCTGAAAACCAAAAACTTAACACTTCATGTATAAACACCGCATACATCATAGCACAAGTGTTCTAGGAATAATGAGCAATGATTAAAATTCCATATAGTCTTGGTTACTGTAGCAAACATACAGTGTTGTTTGAAATGTTTTGGATTATATTTTAGAGGATTCCAGCGTAGTTTAGAAGTCCAAACTACATTTTCAGAGTGTTCTGAACCCTCCTCTACTGTACTTTCTGTCTTGACTTTAACACATTTTGCCAACAGGTGGTGCTGCAGAACAAACTGGAAAACTGGAAGCTGGTGACGAAATTCTTGCCATTGGAGGGAAATCCCTGCTTGGACTCATGCATTATGATGCCTGGAACATTATCAAATCTGTTCCGGAAGGACCAGTTCAGTTGCTTATCAGAAAGCACCAGCCTCCAGCATGATGCGCTTACCTTAAACTTCGACCCTTCCAAGTAATGTGTGCCAGAACCATTAGATGCATTATAGGAGACGAACCTTGTTGATTAAGTGGCATTGCTGCAGATTCCAATGCTTACACCAGCCAGGGAGCAGGGATGAAGACGCCAAGGGATGCGCTGCGCCACCGTCTTACAAGTGGCACCTTTCTCCCCTGTTCCAGGATCAAAGAAATCAAAGTGCCACATTCTTTCCCCAGTAATTTCATTAAACGTCTGTATGTCCAAATATCCGTTTTGCCATTCTGGAGACCCCTTAGTCTGCCATCTATGTGCAGCTCCACCAAAACAAGGCTGCAGTGCTTAGGGCAGTATGTTGGAATCACCACAAGGACCCTGCTTGGAGACATAAGTAAAAAGACTACTATAGAGCATTTGCAGAGTACAGCAGCCACTTTGCCTGTTTTGGGCAACTCCAAATGACCTCACACATACAAGACCATGGGTGAAAGGAAACTTAAATCTGAGGATTTGTTGGTGGGGCAAACCTACACTCCAACACCTCTCCTTTTATAACTCATTTTCTGGCCATATGCAACCTTTGTTTTTACCACATAGCTGTCACATAATCAATGGCACTTTGTGTAGACTACATGGAAAAGTCCAGGAGCATATACAAAAGGATTTTATCTGAATTTTTATTGGTGCACTCAGAGGATTCAAAAAAGTCTTCTTTGCATCGTACCAGCTGGAAAGATTATTCTGGGGACAGTAAGGGAGAAGTTTTGAAGTCTGAGCTCCCAGACTCCTTTCCTGGCATCTCTGGCTAAAAGCTCAGGGGCTCCAGAGCTGGAAGAACCTCTGTGTGAGATTCCCGAAGGACTTCAGCCACTCTTCGCAATAAGACTGGGCTAGAGGAACCAATGAAGCAGCTTCTGTTTGAGAGCCACTGGCCAGGAAGTGGACCGGGTTCCATGGTGATCTCCATCTCACTTTCCTTGTTAAAGAAGGACAAGTTGCATAATTTTCAAAACTGGCAACTCTGTATTGGGAAATGTAGAAGACTTTAGCAAATGTAAAAGTGATCATTACTAGCTGTGTGTCTGCCCTTTGTACTTTTACACTTCACAGGTTAAACTCGCCTTCTAGTTTTGACTACAGGAGCATTCTGACCACCTAGCTGTGATTTCAGGTCAGCATGCATTTAGTGAAAGTAGGAAAAGATCTGGAACCATCTTGCCATTCTTCTAAGTGTTTTTCTTTCATCAAAAATGGCATGAATTAAGTGTATACATTTACATGCAACCTTGTTCAAAGCAGCAGCAAAAGTGTTTTTCCTTGTTTCCCTAATCCAGAGGGGTAGACCTGGCCTCTGAAGCAGCCTTCCATATAGACAGCAATCCTGGATGCAGGTGCGCATCTGCTGTTACAGAGTGATGTTCACCTGTGATCTGTTGAACTGACTGTATCTTTTAACACAGGTGGGTATGCACACCTTTATCCATACCCATGGGCTGCTATTCATGGCTAGTTTCCTGCTAGAAAGGCTAGAGTGTGGAAGCTGCATGGATAGTTCACTGATCTAATAAGCAAACATCATACTGTATAATACACTCATCAGAAACTCATACATACTAACCCTGAATATCTCACGCATCGTCAAAGTACATCTTTGTCAGCTCATTTTGGTGTGTAAATTATTTTAGGTACGGTGGTTCAAAATACAGGTTAGAATAGTGACATTGCTGTTTTTGGATAAAGCAGAGGTAATCAAAAGCAGACAGCAAGATAATCCTAAATATACAAGGGGGAGATTAGCTTGTGGGAGGCTTGGCCCTGAAAGAAGGCATATAAATACTGGAAATTAAATAAGCACATAGTTTGCTTTTGTTGCCTGAAACTGCTGTGTCAATATTGGGTAGAGCCAACATTCCAGAATTAGACAATTATGCTAAAGAAGCCTATCCCAAAGCATTCCAGCCTTATATCCTGGTCTTTATGTTATGCATTTATTTGAATATCTAATTTACTTGAATGAGGCAATTCTAATCAAGCCGTCCTCTCTTCCCTTCATTCAAGTATACTTTTAGTGCTGCTTCATTGACATTCATGCAGCAAAATTATCTTTGCCACTCCTTTTAAGGAAAATAAAATAATCACCCAGGCCAACTATAGTGCCAGCTATAAACCTTGCACCCTGCTTTGAAGTGATGTGTCTTTAAGACCAGCTAATGTTCACCCTCCCTAATCTCAGAACTCCACCTGCTACTGCTAGGCTGTCTCTACACAAACCAGTGATAATGCCTCTGATGCAACACTTTGCTGCTTTGACTCTGCACCTGTGTGGTACATTGCGGCCGACTTACTTCGTCCTACGGGACTCGTTTAGAACTGTGGAGTACAATGCTAGATCCTGGGAAGTTTCACTGGCAAGGGGGAGAGATATGGGGGGGGGGGGATTGGGCTTAGACAGTATAGGCTGGGTTCTAATCCTCACTACCTTGAGGCTGTCAGCCCAACCAACCTCACGAGATTGTTGTGAGAATAAAGGAGGAGGAAAAGGACTGTGTACACTGCATTGGGCTCCTTTGAGGAAAGTTGAGATATGACCCATTTGGTAAATGCTCTCATCAGACCATCTGGCTGCCTTCTATTTATTTTCCAGGGCTTAGGTCTGACAGTTCAGAAGATAGGATGGATTGTCTCTTATATACATATACAGTTCCATTATTACAATTTGCAATATTTTAATTACCACCAAAGCAGAGTTAATTTTGTGCTTTTTTCTAATCCAGTATTTAAGGTTTATTAAAATGCTGATTGCAGCAAGCAACCAAAAGTCTTCATCCTCAATAAGGGTGCATTAAAACACAGGTGTTTCATATGTACTCCCACTATCAGGAACTTGACTTGGATCTGGAAAAGAAGCCGTAATATATTGTAATTTTATAGACATTTGTTTGGAAGTACGAGTCAATACAGGAGAATTATTTAAACCATATTCAAAATGTTTACAGACCATCTGTTTGTCAGATACAAGCCTACACCAAAAGTGAGAATTATGTAATAAAATGCTGAATGCAGTGTGAGATTCATGGCAGATGTAATTTCTATGCTGACTTGTTACCCTCTTCTGGATAGAAGTGGTCTATTTATTTTGCTTTAATAACTATAATTTTTGGTGGATCATAGCAAACTCTGGATGCTTTCCTTGATGCAATTGACCTGAAATTCCCATGTTACAATTTCTGTGAGCCTGTGTGAAAGACACATTCATATAATAAGAAACCCATTTTCTAGGAGACCAGTTTAGTAAGGAAATTAGGGGTTGCATCCAGGTATGCCTAGTGAATAGGTGGATGCTACAGGTCAGGTCAGCACAGGGATGATGCAAGGGGTTGCTGGGGGCCAGGGGAATTGGATTGATCTGCTGCCCTGCCTTTGACCTCTAGAAGGAGGTGTCCACTGGACACCAGTTCCTCATCAATCAGAAATTACGTTTCCACTTTATAGAAGGGTAGTAGTGTGAGTCAAACTGCATGGGTCAGATGCCACAAATTTTCATCTTTGGTGAAAGAAACCAAATTGATGTGTACAGTTCATGGAAATTAAGTTGAACTTTGTGGGAACACTTGGTAGAAAACTAGACTCGCAGGCCTCAGCTGCTCAAACAGCTGATGATATTGTAAACTTGCCCTTGGATTATTTAATTTCAGACTGCTGCAAAAACGTATTCAGAAAAAAAGTATTTCTTGCAAGTCGAAAACTAGATGTCAAGAAGAAGGTTCTAGCCTTGTCATCACCTTGACATGGTACCTTTCTCTCTGTAGGGTGGGTTGTGGGGGGTTGGTTCTTCCTGTGAAGCATACAGCAGTGGGATTGAACCACCTGCCTTCATCCCTGTAATCTGACATGGTGCCATGCAGTCCCAGGTTTACCGCCTTGCTTACGCTTGTGTGAAGCGGGCCACAATGGGAGCTCTGTTTGTGTGGTCTTTTTAAGTATGACACACGACTTTCTGTATGATATTGTATAGTGACACCACTATTTATATAAATATATATCCGTCATGTTGAGAACATTTTTTAAATGCCTTGTTGTAATAAGAGAAGTGCAATAATGGAAACTAGACTGTACATTTTCCAGAAGTTGCTTTGCCCCATTTCTGTAAATTGGCATCCAGTAAAATCCTTCTCTTTTCTTTCACTATGGTATTTTTTAGTGATTTTTGAAAATAAATATGATGCTTACTACTTCTATAGATACTTGTTTTTATGTGCATTGAGATGTAAATGCTTTAAATGTACTACTTACGTTGTTGTTGTTAGTCGTGAAGTTGTGTCTGACCCATCGTGACCCCATGGACAACATTCCTCCAGGCCTTCCTGTCCTCCACCATCTTCCGGAGTCCCCTTAAGCTCACGCTGACTGCCTCAGTGACCCCATCCAGCCACCTCATCCTCTGCCGTCCCCTTCTTCTTTTGCCATCTATTGTTCCCAGCATTAGACTCTTCTCTAGGGAGTCCTTCCTTCTCATTAGGTGGCCAAAGTGTTTGAACTTCATCTTCAAGATCTTGCCTTCTAAAGAGCAGTCAGGGTTGATCTCCTCTAAGACTGACTGGTTTGACCGCCTTGCAGTCCAAGGGACCCGCAGGAGTCTTGTGTGTTACTCACTTTATAGGGTGGGATGGGCAATCTTTGGACTTCCAGGTGTTTGGTCATCAACCCTCACCATTGCCTGTCCTGATGGGAATTGGAGGCTAAACACCTGGAGAGCCACATGTTGCCAAGTCCTGTTACAGAGTTGGTCCTGCATAGACTAGGCCCCTCGGAAGGAAAGGCCATACTGGCATTGGGTACCACTCATTGTTTGAGGACTGAGGGGACATACACAGGCCACCAAACTACCCTGCGCTTCTTTGGTTGTCCAGTGGGCTGGAGACTAATAGCAATGTCAGTTTGGTGGGATCTGATGTGCTTAAAAGGCATGGCGTTGCTGGTGTGCTCAAGTGTCCAGTGTACAGAACCACGTGTGCCTCATTTGCACACAACAACCTGTGGGTTGTCAAGCCTGTGTGGAATTGAGTGGGAACCCAGTCTCCTGCTTGCTTTTCATTTTCACTTTGCATCTGGGAAACAATCTAGCGTTCTAAGCCAGCAACAAGCCATGGGTTGTTTTCTAAAACATGCAAAGCAAAAACAGCGGGCAGAAGGCAACATGTTTGTTTACATGGTGTAGTCTGACAGGCTCACATTTATCAATTTGCAAGGAATGCACACTCAGACTTGTGGGGAAGATCTACGCATCTGAACTTCTGCGACTTTATTGAATCCGTACCCTAGTTCCTGTATTAACTAGCAACAGCATGTTCCTGGGTAGAGACAAATGCAACTACAAAATCAAAGGCCATGTACTTACACTTTTATAACCTTCTGGTCACATACATCAATACTGAGTGTTAAGTTTCCAGATAATGTTAGTACAATAGCATCTTGTTGTCTTTAGGCATGACACAAAGCCCTAAAGCAATCAGAATTACTGGTAACAATAGTATGGAAACTATTACTGATTGCTTTATTGACATGTCAATTCAGTAGATTCCTTGCAGTTTGGATCAGTCTGTGTTTGTCTAAGCATGCAAATGTATCTGAGGAACCATTCAGGAAAACTGGTTTGATAACTACGCTGCACTCGCCTCTGGAGCGAGATAATTAAATGGGTCCGTTCAGAAACGAATGATTTGTCTCAGATCTCTGCAGCTAATGGAAATATTGCTATTTTCTCCACTGATACTGTTAGCCTACAGAAGCTTCTCAGTCCAGCTAAGAATCCCATCTTCTTAAAGAGACGGCAATGCTAAATAGCAACCTGGCTTGGAATTCTGCTTTCTGAGAAAGAGGCACAAGTTTGATTTTGTAACACAAAGGCAGATATAAGCAACCCTTTTCTACCAGGATTTATCTGAATTTTCCCATCAAGTCCCAGCCAAAGGTGAGCTGGATCAAACAACTAAGGAACACCCCTGATGCTCCCTCTGGAAAACCTACACGCTTAAAAAACCAAGATCACGTGCAAAGGCAAACAAAGCAAAACAAAACGGAATAATATTCCCAAATTAGAAAAGCATTCAAGCATGTCCAAAAAAATGTGGGGGACTGGGAGAAAACGGGAGATTTAACAGCCTCCCTGGAAGCACACACAATAGTAAAACTACTGATAATGGAGTAGCGGTTATGATATTCAAGCATTACCCTGACTGAATAATATTTTGAAAATCTGTATCAACATATTTATTCATGGGCATTCAGGTAACCACATGGGATTCAGGATAACATAGATCAATTGCATTTTTAAAGACTGGACTCATTTCTGACCAAAGGGGGTCTGTGGCTAATCTGAGCTTCAAAGATTTCGTACTATTTTTACCAAAAAAAAAATGTCTCCAGATGGCTCAATAAGGTCGATCCAGCTGGGTAAATCTGCAGTGCAGATGTTGGCCCTTTTGGACTTGATAGTATTCAAAACCAGAAATATGTTGGTTGAGGAGGACCCTCGCAAATGGGGTCTTAAATCTAGTCATAAGGCCAGTCCCTGGCTTCTTTCCCCTCCAACCGCGGACAGGCTTGGATCTGGTTCATTGCTTGGGAATGAACAAAAAAGAAAATAACCAGTGAGTTTAAAAGCAACCATCACCAAATACCAAAGAAGCAGTACTTTATTTTTTCATATCTGTGCCATTTGGTACACACCCAAATGTGTGTGTGTTGGGGTGGGGGGGGGGGAGAATGCGTTCATTGTTCTAATTCCAGCAACCTAAATTTGCAAAGATAAATTCTAACTGAAATTCTGGTTTTGTTTCGAATGTTGCATTTTTTAAAAATAGGTGTAACACGAAAGTTAAGACTCCACCTGAACATCTTAAATCAGAATGTCTTCTACCTTTCAGGGTAGAGGGTAGAAGTGACAAAAAGGAGAGACGTGGGAGCTGTTCACACACGTGAATGCTTACAGTGCAGTTACCTCTCTTACCCCGTGACCTGTGTTCACACATCTGCAAGGCAGCTTTTCTTGCATTTCTGTATGCTTCCATCCCCTCCAAATGGTGGTGCGTATCCCATCGGCCCACACAGGTGAGAACCAGCTCCTTCCTCTCTCCCACTGGCCCACACGCGCCAGTGGGTGTGCTCTCAGCCAGGTGCCCTTTCCTTCTCGGCTGCTCAGTGAAGCTCCCATCTACTCCCGAGAGTAACACAGAATCGATAGGAGCTGCAGCCACACTCACAGCCCATGCGTAATGAAGAAAAATGTCTCCTCTGCTTTCTCCACACCATGCACTATTTTAAACACCTCTATTCTGTCTCCCCTTACCTTTTTTTCTAAGCTGAACAGTCCCAGCTGTTGTATCTGCTCCTTATAGCAACTCTACTCCAGCCTCATGATCGTCTTTGCTGCCCTTGTCTGTACTTTTTCCAAGTCAATAACATAGTTCCCTCTGGAGCTTCCCACAATCCTACTTTCACTTTCCTTTTCCCTGATAAGGAAGGTAAGAAAGCAAAAAGGCAGTTGCTTAACTCTGAACATGGAACAGATCAGCTAAGTCACAAGATGCTGAAGTCACCCTGTCATCATCAGTGCTGGAACTTTTTGTTTATTTATTGATTTATTTATTAAAACATTTCTATGCCGTCCCTTGCCGAAGCCTCGGGGCGGCTCACAACACAAAATAAAATGCAATAAAATACAAAAATAACAATATAAAATAAATAACAATAGAGGACTATCTCAGGTGCTCAGTTTAAGGCCAACGTCTGCCAACCAACTTCACAGGATGACCCCTGATTCCTGTATAATGCAAGAGAGAGAATAATGTCTCCCTGTGCACTTTGTCCATACCATGTGTAAATCTGCACACTTCTATGTTTCCCTTGCCTTTTCCCCTAAAAGGGAGAATTCTCGGTGCTGCAATCTTTCCTCAGTGGAGAATTGCTCTGCCCTTGACCGTTGCGGCAGTGCACAGTGCACGTTTCTGGGCAAGGTGTTAGAGCGAGTGGTGGCGGGACAACTCCAAGCACTCTTGGATGAAACTGATTATCTGGACCCATTTCAGTCCGGCTTCAGACCCGGGTACGGTACTGAATCTGCCTTGGTCGCCCTGTACGATGACCTGTGCAGGGAGAAGGACAGGGGGAGTGCGTCCCTGTTGGTTCTCCTGGACCTCTCAGCGGCTTTCGATACCATCGACCATGGTATCCTTCTGGATAGGCTGGCGGGATTGGGGGTCGGAGGCACCGCTTTGCGGTGGTTCCGCTCCTATCTCAACGACCGATTCCAGAAGGTGGTGTTGGGGGACTATGGCTCTGCGCCATGGCAGCTTTGCCATGGGGTACCGCAGGGTTCCATTTTGTCCCCTTTACTGTTCAATATCTACATGAAACCGCTGGGAGAGGTCATCAGGAGGTGTGGGCTGCGGACCCATCAGTATGCTGATGATACCCAGCTCTACCTCTCGTTTTCCACCAATCCAGGTGAGGCAGTGGCTGTACTGAACCGGTGCCTGGCCGAGGTAATGGGCTGGATGAGGGCCAATAAACTGAAGCTCAATCCAGACAAGACGGAGGTCCTGTTGGTTGGCGGTTCGGGCTTCGGAGAAGGTGACCTGAACCTTGTCCTGAATGGGGTTGCACTCCCTCCTAGGGACAAGGTCCGCAGCTTGGGAGTGCTCCTCGACCCGGAGCTTTCACTTGAAGCTCAGGTGACAACAGCGGCGAGGAGCGCTTTCCTCCAGCTTCGGCTGATTCATCAGCTGCGCCCCTACCTGGAGTACGACTGCCTTGCAACAGTGACTCATGCGCTGGTGACTTCCCGTCTTGACTTCTGTAACGCGCTCTACGTGGGGCTACCCTTGAAGATGGTCCGGATACTTCAATTGGTTCAGAATAGAGCTGCCAGGCTGCTGACGGGGACTGGACGTTATGTTCACATGACGCCAGTTCTCCGTCAGCTTCACTGGCTCCCCATTGAAGTCCGGGCCCAATTCAAGGTGTTGGTAATGACCTATAAAGCCCTAAACGGCTTGGGTCCTGGTTACCTGAAGGAGCGCTTACATCCATATTTGCCCAGTCGCCCCCTGAGATCGGCGGGAGAGGCCCTTCTCCGGGAGCCCTCCGTGAGAGAAATTAGGAGGGTGGCTACTTGGAGAAGGGCTTTCTCAGCGGTGGCGCCTAAGTTATGGAATGCGCTCCCCAGAGAGGT